TTATTTCCTTGTGTTGGTATCGTAGTTTTGAGGAATGCTTGGTGAAGATCTTGTAAGTGTTGGTCTCTGTCTGAGGGGTTGGAGTAGATGCGATTGTACCTCAGTGCTTGGCTGTAGATGATGGATCGTGTGGTGTGACCGGGGTGGAAGCTGGAGGCATGAAGGTAGGCGTAGTGGTCGGTGGGTTTTTGGTATAGGGTGGTGTTAATGTGGCCATCGCTTATTTGTACGGTGGTGTCTAGGAAGTGGACCTCCCGTGTAGATTGGTCCAGGCTGAGGTTGATGGTGGGGTGGAAGCTGTTGAAATCATGGTTGAATTCTTTCAGGGTCTCCTTCCCATGGGTCCAGATGATGATGATGTCCTCAATATAGCGTAGGTAGAGAAGGGGCATGAGTGGACGAGAGCTGAGGAAGCATTGTTCCAGGTCAGCCATAAAAATGTTGGCGTATTGTAGGGCCATGTGGGTGCCCGTACCGGTGCCACTGGTCCGGAGGTATATATTGTCACCAAATTTGAAATAATTGTGCGTGAGGATAAAGTCACAGAGCTCAGCAATAAGTTGTGCTGTGTCATCATCAGGGATACTGTTCCTGACAGCTTGTATTCCAATGGCACCTCACCCTCCCTGATTGAACTAACCTCATTATCTCCATACTGATTTATACCTGCCTCTGGAGATTTCCATTACTTGCATCTGAAGAAGTGAGGTTCTTACCCACGAAAGCTTATGCTCCCAATACTTCTGTTAGTCTTAAAGGTGCCACAGGACCCTCTGTTGCTATTTTTTTTTAAATTCTGATGTTTTTATAGCAATCCTTTTTGAAGCTTAAATTGAAATATGTGTATCATGATTCTACAAAACTTCTCTGAGCTTGTCTACACAGAAATTGCATTGGTTTAACTTAAATCTGTTTAAAACTAATTTTAATTAAAAGGTGCAAAGCCCTATGTGCACATTCATCAGTTTAAACCTGGTTTAAATCTGTTTAGTTTGCACCTGTAAATTACTGGTGCAAGCTAAACACCAAGTTGCATTTAAACTGCTCTGCAGCTTTGTGTGTAGACCACACTTAAGTCCCAACCACGGCTTCCTAATTCACAGTATTGGAAGGAATTAGTCTGATATGACTTTTTAGAAATAAAGGTAACTCATTGATTGATAGTTTGTTCCTGTCTCTTATGGAAAAAAACCCATGTGAAAACTTGTAGTTGTGGGAATGCCAATAAATGTCATCGTAAAAACAAATAGGTTAAAGTACTATGTAAACGGTATTTTATAGAAAAGTTAGAATTGAGGATTATTAACTTTATTTTCTTTACTAAAAGTATTGTTTCTTTAAATTCTGACATGTTCTATTACTTTTTATCATAGCTGAGATTGGGGATTTTGATGAATCTGGGGATCGTGATCACCTAAAAACAAACCAATACTTGCCAAACCAGGAAAGAGTACAAGGAAAGATACTGGAGTTTCACAGGAAGCACTTGTAAGTGCAGATTATTGGTGGGCTTTTTGGAAATGTTATAGTATTACAGCATATTGGTGAAACAGTGCAGGGAAATTAGAAAGATGATAATTGTTTGATCGAGTTCAAATATCATGGTGATGGGGGCAGTAAAAGAATCTAGATGCAGGAGCACCGAGTTAGGCCTCATCTACAGCTAAAAACCCCCCAGTTTTTAACCCCCCAAAATACTTATTTATGTGTTTAAAAAGTTCTAGCACAGTTTGATCTAATTGTAGTGTAAATAATGCCAAACTGACACGGAACACCTTTCCCCAGGAGACTGAAGTACAGGCCATTTACAATTTTACACATGCTTGCTTCTTTATATAGACGGCATAAGCTAAATGCTGTTGGTTGGTGAAAGCAAAACCACGATAATGGCATCAATTTATACGCTAAACCTTGCCAAATACAGTCTGTGTCACTGTTTTTTAACCCCTATAATGCAGGTTTGAGAGAGGTGATATGTTAAGGCATGAGAAAAAAGACTTTAGGAATCAAACTGGTTGTGAAATGGGTTAGATTACCTAATAGGTCATTCTGATCTCTAATTTGATGATTCCATGCTTATTGAGTGTCTGTTACTTTGGATGCTGTTATCAGCTGTACAGATGTGCATTTGAACAATTTTGATATGAAAAATATAAATGAAACATTACTTCAGTATTTGCAGTCTTCATTAGGTATTCCTTGGAAATTCCAGGGAAATTCAGGGATTAATGCGGATACTGATCTAACATCAACATGTTATTTAGGAGCTTGTCTATATGACAACAGCAATGTGGGGTGTGAATCTACCTTGCATTAGCCTGCAGCCAGACAGTCTGTGTGACCCCTGATGACTTGCATTAATAGTTTGTTAATGTGCTTTGATCTAGTCCTCTTTGAAATGGGACTAGATCAAAGTGCATTAATGAACTGTTAGTGCATGTTAGCAGGGTCCACATGGACAGTGATAGGCTAGTGTGGGATAGATTTGCACCCTAGCTTGGTGCAACTAATTGTGCAAGCAAGCTCTAAACTAAAACTGGAAAGCTTTTGAGGGCAGCAGCTATATGTAGGACTGCAATGCAGCCTGAAATATCAGTACAGTAGTCAATTGTTTATTTTGATATAAAGTTCCGTTTATTTTGTACTGTCCCCACACTTCTGTTTTTCAATTTGCTGTAGACATTTCTACTGACAAAACTTACTTGCATTGTAGAAGCTGTTGGAATGACATTAGTGCAACCTATGTTAATTAAATGCCTTAATTTGATGGATTCGCTTCCAGAATTATTTTCTGAAAGTTTCATCAAATAAGGTTGAGCTATTTTAAAGCATAGGAGTTTAAAAATAGTTCTTCTAATAAGAAAACAATGTGCCTTTTATTGGAGAGCTCTAGCACCTTGGGCGAAGGTGATGGAATTTAGCAGGAATATAGTTCCTGGGTTGTAGATATATCTTTCATTGGGTTAATGAAAATTGGGCTAATGAAATTTAATTTAGCCAAATTGTAAGGATTTAATAAAATGTAATATGCGCATTCACCCTGGATTACATTAAACAATAAAACATACCATTCCTTATCATTACATTGGTACAGCACATGGTGTGTGTGCAGTACAAGTTGAAAACTGCTACTGATTCAGCACTGTCTCGAGATTTCATTGCATGTGTGTGGATAACAAATAGTGAAATTTTGGTTTTCATAGGTATGGTTATGGAATGATTTGTGAAGGAGTATGTTGAAGGAAGCAGGGCTCTTAAGGAGTCCTACCTACTTTTGTATGATACATAAAGGTATATGTAGAATGAGAAAATGGTTTGTTCCTATCTCCTAGAACTGGAAGGGACCTTGAAAGGTCATAGAGTCCAGCCCCTTGCCTTTACTAGCAGGACCAAGTACTGATTTTACTCCAGATCCCTAAGTGGCCCCTCAAGGACTGAACTCATAACCCTGGGTTTAGCAGGCCAATGCTCAAACCACTGAGCTATTATTGATTGTACATATTGCACAGAGCAAAGCATTCTACTGCTGTATAGCAAATAAATGAATATTATGGAATTTCTTTACTGTATTTTTCTTTTTTAAAATGTAAGAAATATTGTTTTTAAAAAGTCCCTACTTTTAAAAGAATGTTAATGTTGCAAAATGAAACAGTCAAATTAGGAAATGACAAAATTAAGGTTACTTGTGCAATTTTGGTTAGAAATTTTAAATCTCCATCCTTTCCTGGAAAATGTTTGTGTAATAGATGTAATCTGGAAGCATTTGCACATCTAAAAATAAGAGTGACATCCTTCCATTTCCTTTCCCTTATCTCATTGGTGTTGGGGATCCTTCATCTTTTTAGTCTGATTTGTGAAGTTTCCACATTTTCCCGCAGTTTACACACGTCTCATCATTTTCCTTTGAAGGAGGGAGACCTGAATAGACAACTGAAACCTGGTCTCCTTTATGGCAGCACACAGCACTAGCCTTCTTTTCTGTTCTCTTGATTTCTCTTTTCACCTTTGTCCTTCATTTTTATTCCCCTCCTTTTTCCTCCTTCTCAGCTTCTCTTATTTTTAGTGTTTCAATATGAGAGGTGATTTGTTCTTCCATGACACTGACGTTTGAATTAGCTTTTCTGGTGGCAACACTTCTGGTCTGACGAGGAAGAATGAACTGTTACTGACAGGTTGGAGTGTCTCCAGGTTTTTTGGCTTTCCTCTACTGCTACATATTATTTCCTTTCTCAGTTTCAAGTCTCCTGCATTTGCAGCTTCTGCTCTGCCTTTACTTGCCTGGCCCTATTCTGAGTACTACATTTCTCTGCAGTATATCCAATAGGCAATTTCAGTTTGTCTTTATATAACTTAATATACCACAAGGCTCTATTCAGTATGTGGATGTGAAAGTCAGAGCATGTTGTGTACACCTACTTGGATAATGCTTAATTTCTTCAGGCTGATATTGTGTGATATTGTCCATGACTAGGACGGCTAAGTACTATGGTAATATAAATCATTAATACATGAGTTCACCCCACCTGATAAAACCAGTAGAATAATACAATGCAACATGAAATCGAAGCAGTGATTCCAACAGCAGTTCTATATTAAAAGGAAAATAAATGTTTTCACTGTGATAGAATTTTAAAGCTTATATTGTGCTTCTTAAAATGAGTGATTAATTTTTTGTGTGTAAAATATGGCTTCTACATTTAATCTTTCAGATCTGTTTACTCAGTGCCAAAATAGTGTCTTAATGGTACAGCTCTGTAGATGTGTACCTCTCAAGATCCAAAGTTGACCACTTTATATTCTAGTATACCTAAAGACCCCAAATAGGGATTAGACTTCTCTTGTACTAGGCATTATACAAACAACACAAGGCCAGTTCCTGCCTCAGAGAGTTCACAATTTAGGATTTAAACAATACACAATAAGTGAATATATCAATTTTGTGGCTGGAGGGTGGAAGAGAACAAGGTGACAGCAGAAGAGCCACAGTGGTCTTGGTCTCGAGTGGTCATCAGGCTAACTAGTACCTGACCCTTGTAACAGAGTTATCTTGTGCTAAAGCCAGCCTCATCGAGGTATCTTTGGAAATAGGTTGTGAATATAGATCCTTGTGCAGAATCTGAAATTCTACTTTTCTCACCAATGCAATTTCTAAATATGCAATGCTTTTGCCTCTTCAAGCCAAAAATCTAAATTAATTGTAGGTTTAAAAAACTATATAAAGCACGGGACACTTATCAGTATCTGGATTAGAGTTTGATCTTCCCTATTACTGTATGGATGTTGTGATAATAAATATTGTCTCCATATGGATCCAGCTATAAGGAAACCTTGCATTGAGACCTTCTGTACTGAAGGCAGTTCTTGTTGGAAAATACCTTTAATAGGCAGGTTGTCTTCCATTGACTTGGGGAAGCCTAAGTAGATTTATCTACTTAATGGATGAACAAAATTAGACCAGATTGTTTTCAGACCAGTCTGTGCAGATTAGTCTACAGCAAACATCTGAGGATAATTACTTTGAAACTGCTTCTAATTTATGAATGTTTTCTGTGCAGTATGAGCTGCTTGTCTTCATTCCTAGTATTCCCCACTTTAGAAAGTTCCTTCTATTGTAGGTGCAGGCAGTTTTTTAAAAATTCTATTCTTTCTGACAGGTATTATGCTCTTAACTTTATTAGATAAATTTGAATAGTTAACCTCTGGTGGTTTTTATATGTAATAAAATAGTACTCAAGTTACTCACCTGAGTTTGTGCCTAGAAGTTTTATTGGACATATTCCAAATTCTCCAGCCACCATTTTGTACCACATTTCTGTAATTTTATTTTTTACATAAAGCCCTAACATCCTCTTTCTGAGATTGTGGCATTACACCAGGAATGAGTTTGGCTCATTGTGTTATACACTCTATGCTTGAAGTTGTGTAATGTGTGAATTTATGGCCAAAATTTATATTTCCAGCCTTTTATCACTTATCCCACAGAGATGCAACTTAGGCCTTATCTGCTCACAAAAGTCATACTGTTGTAATTGTACTTTGTATATAAAGTTTATTTGGCTACATCATACTCAAATTTGATGAAAAACACAATATAGACTACATCTTTGACAATATTGAACTCCATTTGAACCCCTGAAATTTTTGTAATTGGGGGAAAAAATCTTTTCAGTCTTTGCCGTTGTGAAGATCAATATTTTTTCAAAGTTAATACAGAATAAAAGCAGGATTCAGAGTGGTAGCCATGTTAGTCTATATCAGCAAAAACAACGAGGAGTACTAGTGGCACCTTAGAGACTAACACATTTATTATGCTAATTTCCCCCTACTGTTATTCACACCTTCTTGTCAACTGTTTGAAATGGGCCACCCTGATTACCACTACAAAAGTGATTTTTTTCATCCTGTTGATAATAGTCCACTTTAATTGAATTGTCTCGACCCCCCACTTGGTAAGGTGCAGTGGCTGAGTGGTTAAGGTGCTTGACTACAGTCCTGAAGGTCGTGGGTTTGAGACTTGCTCTATCTTAGGGGGGAGGGATAGCTCAGTGGTTTGAGCATTGGCCTGCTAAACCCAGGGTTGTGAGTTCAATCCTTGAGGGGGCCACTTGGGTATCTGGGGCAAAATCAGTACTTGGTCCTGCTAGTGAAGGCAGGGGGCTGGACTCGATGACCTTCCAAGGTCCCTTCCTGTTCTAGGAGATGGGATATCTCCATTAATTAATATAATCAGACCCTATGCATTCTATGGTCATAGAATTTACCCACTGCCACAGAATCCAAAACCCTAGGTCTCTTTTTTTTAAAATATCACATCCTCACAGGAGGATCCGGGGAACTACAGGCCAGTCAGCCTCACCTCAGTCCCTGGAAAAATCATGGAGCA